GGCGATAAGATAGAGATAGTAGGAAAGGGATTATAAGTTATTTGAATTGTATTAGATTCATTCATATCATCTTAATCCTACCTCTTATCCACTCTGTCCTATTTCTTAATATTACATGAATATAGTGCATGTCTTAAGACTACACTTACCTTGATGTCCAAATGGATTCGTAGATAGATGGTGAATTGTGATGTTCCTTGTTGATGTCGATATTTTAAGTTAATTTAAATAAATAAAAATACAGATATGAGGGGCAACATACTGAGTTTATTTCTATAACTTGTATTAATTATTTTGACAAATATATATAAGTCTTATAATTAAAATTAACAAAAGTAACGTGAATTTTACATTATTAACTTTTAATATGAAAGTGTAAGATTATGGGGGAATAATAAGTGAAAATGAAAGTGAGAGTATGCGAGAGAGATAAAATGGAAAGATAGTGTCTGTGCTAATTTTACTAGCCCTTCTATATTAAATTAGTTGGTAAGGTAATGAAGGGAGGCTAGTTTTTCTTAAAAATTTAACTATTTAATCTTGCCGTCTGTTCGGCGCCACAGATACGCTTATGGTAATTAAAAAGATGGACATTAATGTAAACATCGCTCCAAATGAACGATGTATTTGTAAAAAGTAATAAAATAATAGTCAGTCAGAAAAGTATTTAAAATTGATAATTATTTGTGTAAAGATTATTCTAGAAGTTTCTCGGATAGTCTCGAAACTTCTATTTTGGTTCATTACAATGGCTCTCATAAAATGTAATATTGTTTATTAACACAGGAGTAACTCCTTAAAAACGCAGTTTTAAATTGGTTAATAAGGTTATCAAGGGCGTATAAGAGAATATTTTTTGGTTGGGATGTCATTATGTGTTTAGCGCTGATAACGATGACATTGTTATCATAATATTAATAAAAATTACCATTACTTTTTGTAATTTGGTCCAACTAGGGCACATATCAAAATACTGTGGATAAAATTGAGTTTGAACGTTATTTGATGAGTAATGGTTAATCCGTATATTTTTCTGTCTTCGTTCCCCATTTTCATGAGCTGACAGTTCCTTGGGTGTAGTCAGGGTAACATGGTGAACATCTCATTTAGCCCTGTATCTTTATGTAAAGGTTACCAATTGACGTTGGTGACATGTCCATTATATCCTGACATATATGTTGGGTCTACCTTGCTCATGTTTTCCCTTGATTCTCTTCTTTTATTTTATGTTAATGATGAGTCAAGTCGACTACTTAATATTATATTTATGAAAATTGCTTGCTGGTTCTTGCAATGAATATTATGTGCAGATGATTAACATAGGATACTTATAGGATAGTCATTTGGATGCAATCATTTTATCTGATGAAGTCATATTAATTGGATACATTTTAATTTATATATGTTTTATGACTAATGGAGTTACCTTAAATCTTTGATATCTTGCATATAATCTTTTCCTCTTTGGCCATTATTTCATTACTACTTCTATTTTTTTATGTCTTTTAACTTTAATATTTTATTAGAGCGTTTTTTTTATAATACATACATTGTCCTACTATTATTTTAGACCATATATTTTATTTAATTCATTAATATATCTTCAACAATAGTACAATCTTCTTAATCTTCAATCTTTATTTCTATTGAATTTATACGCTATTGACCTTTGAAATGTTCACATATAATAGAACATTTAAGTTTTTCGACAGCCACAATTTTTACCAGTTCCAGTACCTGACCAAAAGCCAATACGCATTATGACAATTATCTTTATCATTACCAGAAATTCCGGTGGTAATTGACATAATATAATTGTTGTTTGGGAATGTACAATTTAGCGTTTGGTTGGGTTTAAACAATATAGCGTCAAATCAATTACTTACCCAATTGGTTGTATCTTAATATACACTACACTTTAATGATACTATAAATAAATAATCTCACACATACATACATATGTATTTATAACATCGTGTCTAATGTAAGTATTGTTGTGATACCGTTCATCGCTCAAATTTAATATTATTCGTAATGTTTATCACAAAATAAAATAATTATCTTAAATTGAAATCATAGCATAATCACTGATGTAATTAATACAATGTATGTACTTGTTCAGTTTAAGATTAATATCTGTATCATAAATTTAAACACTGTAAATTACTCTACATAGACAATGTATTAAGTAACAGTATCCTTAAGAAAAATCAAATGTACTACAACCAATGTAACATATTATCCCTGCTTATAATTTTCGTTTCAATAGAGATGAGAGCCCTGGTGGTCAATTTTTACATTTTGGTGACATATATAGATCATAGATTTCATATAAAAAGTCGTAAAAAGCTATACAAAATTTTCATTCCATTTTTCAAGTGAAGAATCAAATACAGCAATTGACCACCAGTCTCAAATATTCAAAAAGAAAACATGTCGGTCTTGTTCATTTCAATTCCGCAGAAAACATTAAAAAGTAGGTGATACATTGTCATTCCAATAATTTGGAATTATTTAATCCGAGAAAAGAATGGCAAAATAATAATAATTAACTTATCTTTCTCATATTAAATTTATTAACTGGTTTGTCAGGAGAATTATTAAATGCGTTCGAAGTGCTTGACCTAAGATCGTACCTACGCATTTTCTTATTACGTTTCATAGTTTGCCGACCTAAATTCGTGCCTTTGAAACGTGAGACTATTCAAATGATTTACCAAATTTTATAAATTTGATACATACATTAAATTTCAATACTCATCATAACCCTTTTATCTGATTGTATTGTCATTCTCTAAACCCTCGGACTCCACAACCCCAATAATATTAAACAAACTGAATTATAGTAACCGAAAGTAAGATAATTAAATTTATTCAAGTGCTCAAAAATCTAAATTAATTAATCAACACACCCAATTTCATTTATCTTATATTATATCATAATAAAATCTTACTTTTGGTTCACTATAGTAAAACATGATAAAAAATAACCGTAAAATGGAAAAAATAGAAAATAAATTTTATTACACATATTAAATGTAATGTAACTCGAGAAATATTTGTTTAAATGAAAGAATAGAAGATATTTTTTGTTGTTTAAAATTGTCTTTTAAACAACTATTATACGAAACTTTTCTTGGTAAGTTAAATATTTTTTGAGTAAATTAAAAAAGCTCTTATTTTTTAACTTTTTTTAAGGCTGTAAAAAAAAAAAGCTCAATTCCATTTTATGAGGACTTTTAGTATGTCATTATACATATCTTAATTTAACTCAATTTTGAGTAAAAAAATTGAAGAAATGTCGAAAATTAGCGATTTTTAAATTTGTAATTTTTTGGATGATTTCCCCCGTTTACGGAGAACGAGGGAATTTTTTTCAATTTTTGAGGGTAATGTCTTCGACTAGATACGATTTGTGATCTTTTGACATATTGTTCATCAAAATTGACTCCAGTTATTTATTTGTTTAACATTATTATTTTCTATAAAATTCTATAAAATTGTTCTATTTTGTATTATCAGTATGTAATTAACATCTGCTACCATAGTTTCGAATGTTTTTAATTCAAAACAAATACTTTCATTACTTTTAAGTGTATTTATATGATAGATTTTAAACTGAATACCATAAATCTTAAAAGAGATAACAAATACAATGAGCATAAAAAGAAGTAACAGTTATTCTGACGTAACTGGTAATGCAACATTACAGTGCTTGGCTAGTGGCATTAACTATCCTATTGGAGAGACTGAGGTAGATTTTTTCTTTAGGAAATAAACTCAATTTAAGTGTTAAGATGAACTTATTAAAAATACATATATTTTTATGTGAAAATAATATCTATATTAACTTTAAGCCATCTTAACTTTGTTTTATATTTTACAATATACTTTATTTTTCTTTAAAATGTTTAAATTTATATATTATAACTCTTCAGTTTGTTATTGGACGTTCTCTTGCCTGTTCACTTGTAATTGAAGAAAAATCTATTTCAAGACAACATTGTTTTATAAATAAATCAAATGGTCTATATTTTATTTCTCACAATGTAAGACTTAAAATTTTTATTGCATGTTTATATTAATTTAGCTATCAAAGAAAATAATTAATTCTAAGTTGATCAACAATATCTGTACTACAGGGAACAGGTAATAAAACTTATGTAAATTGTGTGCAAATTTCTATTGACCAAAATGATTTTCAAGTTTTAAATCATGGAGATGTTATTTCCTTTGCAAATGGGAGTGGAAATATTAAATATCTGTACAGATTTGTTTTACAAACATGTACAAATAAAAAATTGAAGTAAGATTATTCTTAAGACATCATGTGTGTAAGTAATTTGTAGAATATGGATAAACAATACACTAATATAATCAAATATATTATTCATTTTATTAAACGCCATCAAATAAATTGATTAATATAAACACTATGTCTAAATCAAAAATATCTGAAAAATATTATTTTAATTCATTTTTTTAATATATGTCAGTTATTTTTATTATAAACTTTCTAATCGCTTAATATGATAATTACAAAGAGTATGAACAATATTTGTTTATAAAATATTAAATATAGATTTTACATTGACACGGCACCGCCCGTCGCTCAAGGCTGGCGCTCACCCGTGTCTCTAGCGATATTAGCCGTCCAGCTATTAATATGACAATCGGTTGTCTCCCCGCCCTTGACACCGAGATAAGGTCGCCGCCGCCCAATATGGATAACTGATATTGCGTTCTGTTTCGGTTTCGACGTTGACCTTAACTGGTTTGCCTTTTTCTTGTGTGCCGTTTGTGTTTCATTGTTTTTCCGTGTTTTTTTTTTACTTGGATTGCGGCGAGTGTGCTCATTACCGATATTACCGACGACAGAAGGGTAGTTACCCATTGTTACATACGTATAACATTGTTCGAATTAAGCAAAATATCTAATATTATAAGAATCAACTATTGTCTTCCGACGTTGTTTCTTTGTTTTTACTGTTGTGCTTGTGTAAATATATATACACATAGACATAAATATATAATATATATATATATACTTTGAGTGCCATACCATTTGGATACGCGTTAACTGGCTCCCCGAAGAGGAATCTCAACCGGCCGAGAGAAGTTAAGGTAAGAGGCTTTGAGCCGATTCAGTTTTATTTCTAATTATATTAGATTTTAGTTTTAACGGTGAAGTCTCCCTTACAAATTTGATAGTTCATATAGTTATTTGAACGGATTTCACTGGTGACACCAGTGAATTTTTACCTGGGTTATTCACAGTTACATGTTAGTTGGATTAGATTGTTAGCCTGGTCTCTGGGAAAATTTTCTTTTATAAAAATATAGTTAGAGCAGTTTATCTAATATAATCCGCCGTAAGTATTGTCGTTTAAGGCCCGTTTCACACTAGTGCGTATATTCTTGTACGCGCAGCGATTTTTTTTTTTGTTTCACACTATACCGTGTTTTTGCTATTTATTTTCAAAATGAATGTCCAATAAATAAGATGTATGTTGGTTTTTGCGGCCTACAGGCACATTTTAAAAAAGAATACTACAAAAATAAAAAAAAATAGGCGATTTTGGGTTCACCCGATGCTGGTTCAAAGACCTCTTAATGGCGCTTTTGCAATCTTTTTTTCTGAATTAAGAGACCACGAAGAGAAATGTTTTAATTATTTCAGAATGTCGTTAAAATCTTTTGATGAACTATTTTCAAAGTTAGAAAAGGGGCTAACCATAAATAGTAACTTTCGCGTACCTATTTCTCCGACAGAAAGGCTTTGCATAATATTAAGGTAAGTAATAAATATTACTTAAAATAAATTATTTAAGGAGCTAATTTTATAATAACTACATAATAATTATCAATAAAATTACGGGAATTGATGTTTTTTCTATAGGAAAATATTAATGGTTTAATAAAAGTAATTTTTTTTACTTAAAAAAAATTAATTAAATTGACAATTCACATTTTGAAATGTTTATTATTAAAACACTATATTAGGTGGGTAAAATCTAACAGTATTTGTAATTACTCAGAAATCATACTAACGTTTTTTGAATAAATACTGACGTAATATTTTAATTAGCTCGTATTTATAGATACTTAGCATCGAGTAATTCATTCACAGACCTTCATTACTCCTATAGAATGGGAATATCTACTATTAGTAAAATAGTAGAAGATGTATGCAGCGAATTATGGCGACTTAAATCTTAAATTATGCCTTTGCCGGATCAGCAAAAATGTAAAGAAATTGCTTTGGGTTTTGAAAGCGATGCTATCTTTGTAAATTGCATTGGCGCGTTGGACGGAAAGCATATTTGCTTATTTAAACTAATCCAGATTGGATCAGATTTTTTAATTACAAACATTACTATTCAATAGTTCTTATGGCTATTTGTGATACAAATTATTGTTTTACTTTTATTGATGTGGGAGCTCAAGGAAAGTGTTGTGATTCAATAGTTTTTAAAAAAACAAAATTTTACAAAAAACTAGAAGATAAAGAACTTTTTGTGCCACCACCGAAACCCTTACCCGGCCAATGAAATCCATTACCATTTGTAATAGTTGCTGATGAAGCTTTTGGTGTATCTCAAAGCATACTTAGACCATATGCACGAAGCAATTTGAATTACAATAAAAAAGTATTCAATTATCTCTTGTCTCGAGCAAGAAGATATATAGAATCAACTTTTGGAATACTTTCTAACAAATGGGGAATTTTCCATAGATCGATGAACACAAGTGTAGAACTTTCTATAAAAATTGTTAAAGCTTGTTGTATATTGCATAATTTTGTCAGGAATAGAGATGGATTTAGATTTGAAGACACATTAAGTATTAATGGTTTTGAAAGTCTTAATGACTCAATTGATGTTTATAATAGATCAGGTAATATATTAAGGGACCAGTTTGCCAATTACTTTATAAGCGAAGCTGGTAAAGTAGAATGGCAAGATAGAATGATTCATTAAGTCAATAAAAGTAATGTGCTCAATAAGTTTATGTTAAATGTCTTCATAGTACTACTAGTAATGGTCTTTGATTTTTATTCTTTTGGTAAAAAGTTTTTGCCACAAGAATTATTTTTACTAAAAAATAACATTTTTTTATAATTAACATTTATTAAAATTGTTCTTAGTATAAACATACAAATAAAAATTTTTAAAAGTAATATTTTATACATTTTTATGCTATTGAACTGGTCCCTGGCACTTTTTCACCTTTGCTGTACTTTGTCCACTGAACCATGATAATGGTAATTTTAAAATATATATATTTATTATTCATAAACAAAAAAAAACCCACACAGTTGGGACTCCACATAGTTGAAATAAGTATACAGGATGTTCAGTAAGTCAGGAAACGGGTTTCTATTGTTCTCATTGTTACAAACAATGAGAACAATAGACTTACTGAACACCCTGTAGATTATATCTGACAGTAATTAAAATCACTATCATCAAAGTCGTATCGATGCATATCTGTAGATTGAGTTTAATTTTTAGAAGGAATTGTTGGGTTATACCAAAAACAACATTGACCCTAATTCCTTAATAATATCATGATGACTAGTTTTATGATTTATAAGTATAATACATGAATAAATAAATATTATAGAAATTAAAATAGTATGAAATTGATATTGAATATTTTGTATTGTAAATTAATAGGGTGATTAGATAAGGTGTCGGGACAATTTTTTTAAATTTAATTTGTAGTTTGTAGGGTAAAGCTTTAATTTAACATATGTTTGAAGTTCGGAGTGTTTCCAGAACATTTTCAAAAGTAAGGTTGAAAAAGTTATCTTTTAATACAAAATTGCTATTTTGAATCCCTCCCTGTGGGCAGGTATAGGGTCCAAAAATATACTTAATAAAAAGAAAATATCTAAATGGTTTTTATTCGTCCATTTTTAAAAAAGTTGATAATTTTCAGTATAAAGTAACGTTCCGGAACACTCTTAAAAACAAATGGTAATAATATTAAATGAAAAAGAATGATATATTCCAATTATTCTCCCATTTTATGTCCTCTAACCTTATGTGTTAAGATAATCGTTTGTTGTTGCCTACCTGTATGTGCACACATAATTTTATTTTATTGGAAACATTTTAATGGGATGAGCAACCGCCCGCCCCCATAGGGGACAATGCCTGTGTACAATATACATTCATAAATACTCACTTGCATCTTTTTGATCGTTGCTGTTCATAGCATCGAACCCCATTACAACACATTGCGCTACTTCTCTAAAGGTTGCTGCTTTAGTATCCCTGTCCTTATACCTTTCATCCCTTGAATTCCACAAATTTGGTCTTAACTGAACCTCATTTATCAAAATTTCAGTGTCTATAATGAGAGTCATTTTTCGCGAACTTGCTAGGGGTAGAAGTCATGACAAAATGACAAAAAAATACAAGACGTGTAGATCGTACGCGTCAGTGTGAACATGTTCATTTATATCAATGTTTGGTCAGCGCGCGTATCATACGCGCTTGTGTGAAACGGGCCTAAAAGTGTTGGTTACAATTTGTTATAAAGACCTTATTGATATGGACAAGAAGTGAATTTCCGGCCGATAGTTACAGTCTTTTGGTAGATGAAAATAGTATATTTTCGTCTGACCTTGTCAAAGCGCCCGATTCCCAGGTAACCGTTATTATTATTGTTCACTCGCTGTCATATCATATACGGCGGCCCCGTACCATCTTATTGCGGTACTTAATTATAACAAAAGCAATAATAATAACGCTTGTTTTCTACTGCAGTAGCAAATTTGACCGTAAACGGAGATATTGTTTATCTCCGCTATTAACGTAGCATACATTTGATTATTAAGATTGTAAATAAACAAAATATTCACGGTCAATATGTCGGGGAAATCATTAGCACAAATGTGAATTGCGCTGAATTACGTCACGAATGCGCTTTCAGACAGCTACCATCTTACGCGACGAAACCCAACATGCTAATTATGCTAGAGGAAAACATACGTAGCGAAGGGAGGAATCCAGCTACCGAAATTTTACCGCCCCGTACGCCGGTCGATAGCGAAATTCCGGTCCGCGAACCAGAAGTGAGAGTTTTAGACAACTCCACGGACCGTGTCAGCGAACTATCTGCGGCCCGGCGTAGCACCTTTACCAGAGGAACATCTGGTGAACCTCGCGCTACGCACAATAGAAGACGACGAATCTGATGTCGAACGACCGGGGGAAATTACACGCGCAAGCGGTCAACTAGGCGCACCGTTCGTCGAGGACGTATATGTTGCCCGCTCGATAGCGCACGCGGCAGAACAAGTCTGGGCGATCCGACAGAACGTTGGCGACATTTCGAATAACGCGTGGATCGAGGCACGTATGACTGAACTAGAAAGGTCGCTGTCGCGTATGTCAATGGAACAGCGACAGATTTCATACATGTTGGAGCGAATCAGTCAAAATATGTTGCCGTCCCCACATGTTGCTGCACAACCGACTTCGTCAAGCTAACGTAGAGCGAAATGATAGTCGACGAACGTACGCGCATCGCGTTACATTCGGTCCATCGGGAGCGACGGACCCGACGCGACACGAGCGCCTCGCGGACATCGAAGCGCAAGAAGCCCGCAACATGAGACGGTCGTACGGACATGCGTCGCTATCACGGATNGCCCGCAACATGAGACGGTCGTACGGACAAGCGTCGCTATCACGGATGTGTATTACGGGTTGGCAAGACGAACATTATCCGCGCACTCATACATATGAGAACGAGCCGACCGATTTTTCGTTTACGCGGCAACCACGGGAGGGGCAATTCAACACAATCGACGGTCGTCAGTCTTTCAATGATTTGTCGCCTACCCGCAGCTCGCGGTCTGTGTTGGTACCTTACCACGACCTACGCACCGTGCGCGCCTGCTTACCTGAATATTAAGGGAGAAACGAAGAGGACCCACGGGAGTTTCTAGACAGAGCGGAGGATCTACTCTGTCAGGGCGGTATACACCCAACCGCGTGGGTGAACATCGTCGTCCCGTTTTTGAACGACAGGGCAGGTGATTGGTGACGAACGATTAAATTAAACAATATGCCATGGGCGGAATTTAGGCCCGAATTACTCGAGGAGTTCGACTATATCAATATCAGGACTGCGCTCGAGACGGACTTAAAAACGACGCGACAGGGCCCCCGNGACGAACGATTAAATTAAACAATATGCCATGGGCGGAATTTAGGTCCGAATTACTCGAGGAGTTCGACTATATCAATATCAGGACTGCGCTCGAGACGGACTTAAAAACGACGCGACAGGGCCCCCGACAAACGTTAACCGAGTTTATTATTCATAAATAACGTTTGGCAGCCGCGCGAGTACGTTGTGGTTTACCGGAGCAACAACTTGTGCGACAGTTAACGGAGCTTTTACGGGACGATTACAGCGCTATGATACGGTTAATGCATCCAGCGTCTTTCGCCGATCTACATGAGATAGCGAATGACGTAGATAAAACCGCGGCTCCTCGGTACGCTCCGACAGCGTCCCGACAGCTAGCCGATCTGCCTCCGCGGCATACCGCGCAACCAGCGGCCCGACAGCGAGCGGGTTATGCAAACGCGGACGCACCGCCTACCCCGTGCCGATATTGCGGCGAGCGACACTGGCACTGCCAGTGCCCAAACAGACCGTCGGTATCGGGAAACGGCAATCGGTTAGGAGGGAATTAGTCCGCCCCTCCAGCCTACAACAGAACCAAACAGGGCGCAGCAACTACTACACAGCAACAAGCACCACAGCTAGACCGGCCCTCATGGAAGTCGATTTCGCCGAGGACGATTTAGGACGCGCCGTGGACGGGTTCCTTGTAGACTCTCCTTCTCCTCCCCGTTTCCATCGTGAAACCCCTCGTCCCGAGTAATCGGTCGAGGAGTTTCCTTCTTTTTTTTTTCTCCCCCTTCGGTCCTGAAGTCATCCGTAAGTTACGGATGACCGGACCGAATAGTCCATTCCCTCTTGCCAACGAGACTGAAGGTTTCAGTCTAATACGGTAAGTGTTGAACGCAATATCAATGACCACACACACAAGGAACACGGCGGTAAGTCAACAATTGTTTATTACTTATAACTACTGTGTATGATGCGACAATTTGTCTACAAATATCGTTTCCGACGTTGACCTTAACTGGTTTGCCTCTTTCTTGTGTGCTGTTTGTGTTTCATTGTTTTTCCGTGTTTTTTTTTTACTTGGATTGCGGCGGTGTGCTCATTACCGATATTACCGACGACAGAAGGGTAGTTACCCATTGTTACATACGTATAAAACTATTCGAATTAAGGAAAATATCTAATATTATAAGAATCAACTATTGTCTTCCGATGTTGTTTCTTTGTTTTTACTGTTGTGCTTGTGTAAATATATATACACATAGACATAAATATATAATATATATACCTTGAGTTCCGTACCATTTGGATACGCGTTAACATTTAATGAATAATATTGTTAAAAAATGAAAAAAATGATTCCTTTTAAAATTTCAACTTTTAAACTAGGCTTTGCTCATAAAAAATATTTAAAAAAACTTGCATTCATGGTAAAATACTTTTTTACAAAATTCAGAATTATGCTTAAAATATTTCATTCATATATACCCTATTCTATTAAAATTACTCTGCTTTTTGTGTTTAATTTTTATAAAGTTAGATGTTTAAATCAATTGCATTTATTTTTCAGACGAAATAATGAAGTAAATGGTGAAGAACATGAATCTAGTAAAAGTCAATCTTATGTTGACAATATTGTAAGTTTTAATTCTGTGGATGATCTTTTTTTTACAATTAATTTCTTTAAATGAATACAAAAATTATATATTTATTTTTAATTTTTACTGATGATACGACCCTATTTCGGTACATATCTCATATGCCTGTTAACAGTAACCCAACATTTTAATTAGTACATATCCCATTAAAAAAAACTTATTAAAGTATAATGGAATCAAATAATAAAGTTTATTAATAATAAAATAAAATAATAATAATAATAATCTATGGATTCAAGATATGTTAGAATGTCCATCAAGGAGGTGACAATGTGCTATAAACATCATGAGAATTATAATTTATTAAATCACAATTAAATAATAATAATAAGTTCAAATAATATTAATTAGATGTTAAACATTCATATGGTAGGTCTCAACTGCTTGTTGCACTACATTTTCACAAACAGTTTTCTGTAAGAATGTGTATATTAACATTGTCAGCGGGTCCCTGTATATCTATCTGTAATAAGCATGAATGCTGACCAAGCTGTTAAATGTTATTGACTGAACCAAGATTTGTGCACAAAATGTGACCGTATCACTTATTTAAATCCAATTTTTTAATTATTGGCTGATTTATTTTAGCTGAAAAGTGAAAAAGCATCAATGAAGCGTTTTCTAAATGCTAAATTAGATAAATTTAATGAAATAATTAATCAAGCATCAAAAAAAGTTAAAAAATTGAAAGAAACAGTTCTAAAAGTAAATATATTTTAAGTAAAAATAACTTAACCGCTGGTTAATACATATTGTATTATTTTCACACAATAATAATTTTTTTTATTAACATTTACTATAATTAAAAAAATATATATATAGAATGTATTAGTTTTTAAATTAGTTCTAAAATCATGTTTTATTAACCTATATTTTTGTATTAAATCATATTAAAAAAATGTTTTTCCGCAGCATAAACTCGCTAACAATGAATTAACAAAAAAGAATTTAGATTACCAAAATACTTTAAAAATACAACAAGGTAATTATATAAGTATATATATTGTTATTAACTTACTTTATTTAATTTTACACCTGTTTAAGCTAAGTCGCATGATATTCTTAGTATATAACATGAAATATACTGTGTCTTAATCTGGACTTATTTACCTGTATAAAATATATAAGTGAATAACCTATGAACTCCATTTATTTATTTTTTGGATGGAGTTCACGTAATGGGGTATAAATTAATTTTGGGCTTATATATTACTATTGTATTAAATTGAACATTAGAAACATTGGTAACAATATCATGTCCATATGGCCATTGATTATTAACTAATTATCAAAAGCAGTTACATATAAACAAAAATTTTTGTTTATAAAACATTACATTTTTTTATATTATAACAATAATAATTCAAATCTCTAAGAAAAATATAATTTATAATGCAATGTCATGTGTGGTCTTAAATGACTTTTATAAATATTTCAGAAATATCTTAATCACGTTTTAAAAATAAATAAATCTTATTCCTTTTATTAAATATTTTGATAAGAAAAAATATTAATTAAAAAATAAAACACCTATGGATTTAAGACATTTTTGAAAAAATTAATTTATCTTATTTTTCCTAAACTTTCAATTGTATTAAGGCTAATGTTAAATTACATTAAAAAGAGGTATTTATCAAATTATTATCATTTGTTATTCTATTTTCTTGATAAAATTTTTAAGTTAAACTTTGTTAAGTCATTTAATAGCTTCAACATACTTTAATTATTATCTTTTTTTTGAGAAGTTGATTTTTTTGTTTGAATTTTTTTTCTAGATCAAATATCAAAAATTGAAAAAACAATCAAAGAAAAAGTTTATAGTGTTCTAGAAAGTGATTTTCAATGTTCAATTTGTAATGAATTAATGGTTAAGGTATTATTTTTACATTTAAATACATTAATAGTGTGAATATAACACGTCATCATGTTAAAAGTTCTTAGCAAATTTATTATGTTACTTTGGTTAAAAAATGCATTATAGAATACTTTTTAATCAATTTTAAGATTGTTAAATATTATAAAGTGATAGTAGAGATCTGAAAACTTTTTGAACTTTCTAATCCTAGAATTGTAAATAAAATTTCTGAAAAGTAAAGCTAAAATATTTTAACTAAAAAAATTATTTCTGATGAAAATTTCTTTTTTATTAGTTGAAAAAGTAAATAAATGTGTTTAAAAATCAATTATAAAATTCATATAGTAAAATTTAATAAAGCAATTTAAAATGCTTTTCTTTAGGTAAAAGTACATATTTTTATTTTGAACTAACAATTAATATGATTGCTAAACATATGAAGACACAAATTTTCAATTTAAAATAAAATTTGCTTAATCTTCTAAGATAAAAAACGATTTTACAATTACTTCATTTACTTACATTTACATTACTTTACCATGATGTGTCACATTTTAAAGTAAATTTGTTTGTTTGTGAAAATAAAATGCAATTTAAGTAAAATGAAAAATATTACTATGTCATTGTCTATATATTATTATTTTATAATTTAGTAACATTTTTTATCCAAAATTTAAAAAAGTTTTTAAATTTTGTTTTTGATAAATTAGTCTCTAAGAGACTGAACAAAAAATCACATACTTCATAATTATACCAACATAATTATTTTATTTTAGAACTTGGGTTTGAAGTTTAAATAAAACATATTCTATCTCAAAATTGTAGTAATACAAAAATAAGCAAAAATGTTGTTTGGGGTATTTTATTTGACTAATGTTGGATATTTGGGGATTTGGTCAATTCAGGAGCAACGAGGTTCTATGGGGGTTGTAGAGTCCGAGGGTTTAGAATAGTAAAGACAAGTAGATATAAAAAGATTTGTATTAAGTTCCTCTCATAGAGGTATTAAAAATGACCTAACTGGTAAGTACCTGAAATAATACACTGAGACAACGAAAAGGTGGTGGCCATCTCACGAATACCATGTAATGTACTTAATATCGCTTTAAAATGTACCGACGACAACAGGGGTCGCTGCTAGTTTGATCAAAATAAATCAGTTAGAAGAATTCTGAATTCCTTATTGAATTCAGATCTTCAAAAAGAAGAGAGAACTGAAGGTCTCTTAGAAAATCAGCGCCTTTTTATATTATTTTTAATTACCCCCATCATGGGTTGTTGCCGCCAGCGCTTTTAGTGATTTTCAGTTTATTGTATAAAATTTGAACATAAAATGATAATTATTTTAAGATAAGATGCATAGTATACAATAATCAATTATGTAATAGCTAGTGTACAAATGTGTATATGTTATGACAGATAAATTAATTATTTGTTTGTATACAATTGGTGTTAAATATTGAATATAATTATATTATTAATTAAATATTAAATATTGATAAATGTAAGATGCATAATGCAGAGCATTGTGCATATTACGACAAAATGTTAGTTCAAAAAAACTTGAATTTTACGCATCCATAAATTAGATTAAAAAAATGATTTTGCATATCTCATTATCATAGGAAAATAAATAAAATTTAGTCATAAATTGTGAAAATGAATATTTTATATAAAATTTAATATGTAAATTTGTTTTTTTTTTTAGGCGTGTACAATTAATTGCAGCCATACATTTTGTGAAATTTGTTTAAATACTTGGTTGAGAGAAAGTAATTTGTGTCCTCTTTGTCGAACTTCAGTTCAAACTAAAACTCTATGTCTATCTATGGATAACTATATTACTAATATTTGTAATCTTCTTGGGAACGCAATAAAAGAACACCGGGAAAAAGTACAACAAGAAAGTAAGTATATTTGAACATTTATTAACTTATATTTATTGTTATAACTATTTTTAGAATTGACAGTTAATGTCCCACGAGTACCACAAATGGCTTGGAGAGGTCGTAGAAGAAGAGGTATACGTCGAAATACATAACCTGCACATGTTCAATGAGAAATAATGCAAAGTTATGTTTTGATAAATACCTGAATTTTTTCTAATGTAATACATTTTAAACGTTCCAAAAGAAAAATTACTATTTACTCTTTTATATTTATAGAAAAATGAACAAAATATAATTAAATAATTATAATTATTCATGTGAATTTTGTAAATAATTTTATTTTGTTTTTGTACAACTTAGTTTAATTAAACTCATACTACATTTGTAATATTTAAACTAAGATTAAATTAATAATAATTTAACTTATTGTTAAAAATACAATATTTTCTATAAATTATCTCACCTATTGTATTTTAAATTTTAATTAAAAGATATTTGATACCAAGCAAAATGATAGGTACTTTTTTAACAACTATGAGCACAATAACATATTATTTAATGTTTTTAACACAAATATAAATAAGCATAAGTATTTTAATTATGTTTTACATGAACTCTATTAAATATTAGAAAAAAACTTTGGGAGCTAGAGCTATTGGTTGGTACATAAGAATTTTGTTCGCCATCCGGTTCCTACTAAAGCGGTAGCCCATATGACTAATAATAAAAAATAACAATACATTTCAATGATAGATTTCTAACCACAAAAAAAAGAATGATTACCATTCATCTAATTAATATATTTTTTTCTGTATGATATGATTTTCAAATGTATAAATTCATATTTAAATTCAATCGGACGTCCGCAAAATACAAATGTAATGACATTGAACAATAAAATAATTTTACATACAATGAGAAGATATACTTCAACCAAGTCAATCTACGGATTCGACGATTCGACGCTCAGGTGGAGCAACGAGCTTCAAAAGTTGGCATTAAATCATGGAGCAAAAAAATATATTCCTAAAATTAATTTTATTTTTGTCCATCAGATATATAAAAAGTAATTTACATGATATTAACATAGGTATTTACTAGCAAAAGATAGTGGGGTCGGGAGCAAGTGTTAACGGAAAAAAGTTCGACGGCTGCAGGTCCGCGGGCGGCAGAGAAGCCAGGATCCTTGTCGCCACTCCGGAGACAGTGCGATAGGCGCACACGGTCCGGATGGCTCCAACGGGTACTTCAACCTACAGAATTGTTTGCGTAGATAAAAAAACAATAATATACAATAAATTTATTATTATTATTATTATGCGTAAAACGTTCACCAAATCGTTTCCACTGGCACCAACACCGCCAGCGACGACATTTCCTCCGAACGGTCCAGCATCGCCATCATCAATGTCCACCACGCGAACAATTTCAATCTACACGGTGCCAACTTCTATTGTTACAATTCAGGATAACTCGGCTACGGAACCTGACGTGTTGTGTACGCGATACTTACAACGTATACATACATATATACGCGTTGTAAGAAATATTTGAAACAGTGAACGAATTAATACCGTCTCACATTCCGTAACCGTTACTACGATTCTTAATGAAATTAATTATGAAAATGTATTACGTCGGCCTCATTATGTTGCTCCGTGACATTGACCTTAAAGGGTAAAGCAAGATCATCGAAGACAATTGTAGCGATTACTGTTAACTATTATGATTATTACTTACTACAGACGGTACGGCGTTCCGGTTGAGCACCCTGCGCACAGTACTGCTACCAACAAACGGTAGACAATCAAATCCATTAGACTGAACGAGACGTCGAATCGAAAACAATTAATTAACGTGTACATACTTATGTAAACTGACACCGTCGCTTCGATGCAAATCTTTAGATAGTGTTTAATTTTAAAAAAATGGTGGATTATTCCAAAAGCTACATGATCTGCTAGTTCTTTATTAATATCCTAATTAAGATAAAGTATGTCGAATGAAAAAGGGATTATTAAAAAATATTATAAAGTTAAAAATGTAAAAAATAAAATCGAGAATTTTCACACAACAATAGCATTTGATAGCCATTTTCACCGTGAAGACAAAATGAAGTCCGAAATTTTTTTTTTGCATAATAAAGAACATTACAATAGCTATAATTTAAGGTATATATAAAATTATCAGACTTTCCAGAACATTTTCAAAAGTTAAGTTGAAAAAGTTAATTTTTTGTAAAAAAAGTTACAATTTTAAATCCCCCCCTGTAGGTAGGTAAAAAGTCATATTTATAAAAAAAATATACCATAGGATAGGTAAAGGCATCATGCATCTATATAAAAAAGAATTATATTGATATGTTCATTTTTGAAAATTTTAAAAATTTCGAAAATAAGCAATTATTAAATTTGTAATTTTTTTGGAGGTTTCCCCCATTTACGGAAAACGAGGGAATTTTTTTCAATTTTTGAGGGTAATGTCTTCGACTAGATACGATTTGTGATCTTTTGACGTATCATTGAAAGAAATCGGTTTGTTGAGAACTGAGAAAAAGTGGTAACAGACACAAAAAAAAAAAAAACCCAGCACAGTGGAGTCGTGGCATAGTGGGGACGTTGCATAGTTAGGTCCAGTATAGATTTAATCTGACAGTGATTAAAATCACTATCATAAGAAACGCTTCGATGCAAATCAGTAGATAGTGTTTAGTTCTAAGAAATTGGTGGATAATTACAAAAGCTGCATCATCTGCTAGTTCCTTATTAATACCCTGATTAAGATAAAGAATGTCGAATGAAAAAGGGATTATTAAAAAATATTTATCTAATAAAAAAATTGTGTTGATTCATACATTTTTCAATGAGTTGTAGCATTATAAAGTTAAAAATGTAACCAACCCAACACAACATCAACTCCTATTTCCATAATTATATCCAGATTAGTAATTCGTTTAATTATCTATTATATAATTTTTATAATTAATTATTTTCAAATTATTTTCAATTTTTAATATATTAAAAGTAATCATTTTGAACCAACTTTTTTTTGTCCTTTAAAGTGAAAGTTTTAAAAAAAAAAAATATGAATTTATTACCATAACTTTTAACTCAACTTGCAAGTTTGAAATAGATATCATTAAATAGAAAAAAATGAAATTGGTTGAGTATTTCAAAAACAACAATAACACTTATTCCCTTAATTTTACCCCGATTTATAATTATAATATATGAATACATAATAATTACAGTAATTAAATTGAGTATGAAAGTGGTATTCAATAATATAATATTGTAATTTTTACGGAGATATTATAAAAATAAAAAGGAG